ATTACAGTTGATAGACAAATACATCCTCAATAGATGTTACATGAATAGTAATTTTAGGTAGGCTTGTATGTGCAAACTTGGATCCCTAGATTTAGGTCGGTTGAATGAAGCTTGATTAAGTGTGCTTTCTCGCAATCAAAATTTAATAAAGCAATGACAAATATGTTATAGCTTTAAAGTTTACATGTGAGATACCAATCACGTGATGAGGGAAGGGGATGGAATACAGTGACAACCCTTGAGGGGATTCTGAGATTCACAACCAAGGGCAATTTGGGTATGACAAAAAAACAAATTTATTAATTAATTTTTTGTATTAATTACACATTGAAAATTAAAAACCCATATTAAATACATGCTTTTTTTTTAAAAACCTACAATTAATACACATATATATCTCTCTCTACTTTTTCCAGCAGCCTCTCTTCTCTGACCGCCAAACTTTCTCCGATAGGCAGACTTTTTTCCGGTGAAATCCTTCAATCAGGCTTACGCCGGCCACCTGCAAAAAAGTATCACTTCGTGAGTGCGCTAGTGGTAGTGATTTTCGTCTAGTAGTACACTATCAGTGGTACTGGTACGCTACTAGTAGTAGTGGTAGCGTACCAGTACCACCGGTAGCGTACAACTAGAGACTAACACAAAAAACCAGATCTGGAATTTGAAAAATTACAGATCTGGAAAAGAAATTAGGAGATGAGGAAAGAGAAAGGCAAGGAAGAGGCGGTGACCTCGTGGCAGCGCCGTGAAGACGTGAGGTAGTGGGAGGCGGAGGAAGGGAGAGGCTGAGGCGGCCGCGGTGGTGTAAAGACGGCAACGGGCGCAGCAGGGGCGACGAGGGCAGCGGGGGCGATAAGTGCAGCGCGACCTTGCAGGGGGCGGCGGTGACAGCGTCGGAGTGAGGAGGGCAGAGGGAGGAAGGCGGCGACGACGACCATGATGGATGTCGATGATGAAGCTCTTTAACGGTTAGGGTTTTTTGTTAGAGATATGTGAGAGGAGAGGAGGAGGGAGGCGAAGGGAATGAGGGGACTCTGATTTTTTTTTGTCAATGAAGAGTATTTATATGGAAAATGGAAATGGATCACACGTGGTAGGTTTTCCATTCCAAAATTGCCTTTGTTTAATCTTAACCATTGATTTAAAAAAAAGAAGAGAGAAATAAGAGAGAGAACGTATCAATGGCTACAAATTGGGTTGTGAATCTCACAACTCCCTCAGGATTAGTCAATTTTAAAGATGTCCTTACCAGATTGAATAAAAGTAACATATATACAACCTTTTTAGAGGACTATTTACAATCTCTAAAGACATTCCCACCCTATCAAACAAGAGCAACTCATGTCCGATCATATATTATGTTTCACCATAATGCGCCTAAAATCCAGATCTCAGTCGATTAAAATTAAAGGGTCGTTTGGATAGATCAATTGCAAAACGAAACAATTTAGCCAATTGTCTCGTTTTATAAAACGAGTCAATTCGAATTACCTGCACCACCCCTGGCAATTATAATTACAGCAAAACGAGTCAATCCAGGATTCCTCAAGCCAAATTGTTTCATTCAAATTTTCTACTACCAAACGAGTCAATCTGGGCCAATTATCTTAAAACAAGACAATTGAGTCAAATTGATACATTAAAATTCGGGCTAAATTGCAAGTTTAGTCACTAGAATTACTTAACAAGTTCACGTTTGCCACTAAAATGAATTTATTCCATCGTAGTCACTTAAATTAGATTAACAGTTTAAGTTTGGTCACTAACCGTTAGTCTTCGTTAACTTTTGCTGATATGGCGGTCAACTCTTATAGTTGACCGTTAAATAAGTGACGTGGCAATTAAAATATAATAAAATATAATTATTTTTTTTCTAACTAATTATTATAAATTAAAAAAAATTCCTAATTCTTTTCATTATTATTTTCCACCTCTAGCCGCTGGATGCCGAATTGGTCTCTGTCCACCGTTCCTCCATCGCCAGCAGAGCTTCTAGGTCGTCCACAGTTTCTGACGAGGAGGAATCCGATGGCAATTTCATCGTCGAGAAGACTGCGTCGAGCTGGGCGTCGAGCATGTTGGTGTAACGAAGCTTGGTGTTCGGATCTAGAACCCCTGAGTTTGGCCGAAACAGGGCGTAATCGAGAGTCTCCTCCGAGCAGCCGAAGAATGGGTAAGGGTTGATCATGAAGGGGGAATTCCTAGATATGAGGAAGCCGAGCATAGGTTTTAGGATGTGGACGTCGTACCCGCCATGGAATTTTTCGGCTGACGGAGGGGTCGAAGCGGAGAGGATTCCGAGCGATTGAGGGGTCGAGATTTGTATCTGGCGGTCTAGGGACGCTCCGACGAGCGCAGCGTGGAGCGTCTGCATCCCCGGGACGAGGGTTCCGATGATAAATCTGTTTGCTTTGGATAAAACCTCGTTACCGACGAGGATCCAGACGAGGTTGGTTGCCGGGAAGTAAGGCTGGATGTAGGATTTGATCCATTGCTGGGCGAAGGCGAGGGATCTGGTCGTTCGGAACCGTGACGGTGAGCTAGATGCACGTGTGAGCGAAGGCCTGTATTATTTCCGGGTTCAGGTCGAATATCCGAACCCTGTTAATCACTGTGGACTGTAGAAGAAACCTGGCTACTTCTAGGATGGCAACAAAAACCGAACCCATGGGTACCCACCCGACTCAACCCGGTCAACGCGGGTAAAACTCATGTTGACGAGTTTTGGGCCGGGTTCTGGTTTAAACCCGCTACACTATTCACTGGGTCGGGTTGGGTTTGTGTTTAGGTAAACCCGCCTCGTGGGTACCCGCCCACACACATATAATTATTTTCCCAATATATTTAATATTCTAAATAATATATCTTCCTTAAACAACTAATATTCTTTATGTTTGTGGAGACATGTATAATTTGTTTTTTCTAATTGTTTAGAATGAAGTTGATATGATGAAGCGGAGAGTGAAGAAACTTAGTTGACGAGGAAGAAGCTTTCAATTAATCTTATTGTTTATAAATGTTTATCTTTAATTTTGAACAATTTGTATTGATCATTTGCGGTTTGCTTGTATGCTCTAGATTGGTGTTTTTTGTATGATTAATTTGTATGAGAAAATTGATGTTAAACTTTTATTTTGAAAGAAACTTGTTATTGTAAATTTTTTACCAGAAAAACCCACGGGTACCCATGAACCCGCGGATACCCAGCGGGTTGGGTTTGAGTTTTTCAAACCCAATGAATTTTACCCCGGATTTTTCTGACGGATAAACCCATGGATTTGGGTTTGACAAAATCCGCCCCAACCCGATCTATTGCCATCCCTAGCTACTTCCCCTTACAGAGGGAGGTCGTCGGCGACAATGCCGTAGTTCACCCTGATGCTACCATTGGTAGCGAAGACGAGAATGAAGAGGAGAGTGGAAGCTATTGGGACATGATGAGGAGACGAGGAACTGTCCATCACCATGGCTCTCGAGCAGTGGAGGTGGGTTGTTGTGGCAAATGGTCACGAACAGCCGCCATGGATGAAGCTTGGGGGGATTGCTTAAAGTTTTAAGAAGTCATTAGAGAGATACTTTACGTGGACGACCTAGAAGCTCTGCTGGCGACAGAGGAACGGTGGACGGAGACCAATTCGGTATCCCGCTGCTGGCGGTGGAAAATAATAATTAAACAATTGAGATTTTTTTTAAAATTTATAATAATTAGTTGAAAAATAAAAAATAATTATATTTTATTATTGCCACGTCACTTATTTAACGGTCAACTATAAGAGTTGACCGCCACATCAACAAAAATTAATGGAGACTAACCGCCAGTGACCAAACTTAAACTGTTAATCTGATTTAAATAACTACGTATGAAATAAATTAATTTTAGTTATAAACGTGTACTTGTTAATTAATTCTAATGAACAAATTTGCAATTTAGCCTTAAAATTCCTCGTTCAAACTAGGGGTGGGCATTGGGTGGGTCGGGTGGATTTTGACCATAAAATGCACCCACCCGCGCTTAAATGGATTGATAATTTTTAACCCACCACCCACCCACATTTAGTCTCGGGTTGGGTCGGGCGGATGGTGGATGATGCGGGTGGGTTTGTGGGTTCACCCACATCACAATTTATATAATATAAATGAGTCAACTTGACATGATAATAGGTGAAGAGAATCATCGAGGGAAACCAGAAGTTGAAATAGGGCGAAAAATGTCGAATTAGTTCTTAAATTGGATAGAAATTCTATTATGAAAGAGTTTTCTACAGATTGAGACGATTATTAGGTGCAAGGAACTAAGGAAAATAATTCCACAAAGGAAAGAGCATTGATCTAGGCACAAGAATTAGAGGAAAAAGTAAAGGGAGGAAGAGGGGATCTCTATTTGGAAGGTTGGCTTTGAGGTTCAAACTCCAGGAGCAGTCCGAGTTTATATCTAACGTCTCCACTCTCCTCTCTCTAGCGCCAACGACTTTGATTTTTTTGCTGTTGGGTTGAGCGGGTCACCCGCACACTCACCCACAACCCATCCACCACCCGGCGGATGGCTCCCAGCGCAACCCGTCACCCACCCACAGACCCACCCACTTAACGAAATTCGGGTCAAATGCGGGTGGATCGGCCCAAACCCGCGGATGATCCGCCCGCATGCCCAGCCCTAGTTCAAACTACGCACCGCTAATTTCTGACCAATCACCGCCTCCTAGAGTCCTAGTTCATATTTCTCCGTTAAACGTCTTTTGTCCGGAGAGAGATGCTGATCCTCTCGTCCGTCCTTTAATCCACGTGTCGCCCCGACAGCTCTTTCGTGACACGCTCAACGTCTGACGTGGCGTTTGGCGTGGTTTTCTTTGGGAGGAGGCGTGTTTCCGTCGATTGCCCGTTACGGTGACGTCGTTCCTTTGGCTACCCCGTCCGTCTCCGTTACAAATTGTGGTACTGGTATATTCGCTGGTTCAATTCCTTTTCATCTTCCTTCAAAAAAAAAAAAAAATCCTTTTCATCTTGATCTAGGTAACCAGAGAAGCAAGGGAAGAAAAACAAAATCAAAGCCACGGTTGAGAGCGAATCTCCCCGCTTTCTTTTATAGTTAGCAAATCCTCTCTTCTTCACTTTTCTTCTCCACACCTTTTTCCTTATTCTTCTTCCCCCCTCTCCTTTTCTCTGTATTTTTTAATACGTTCTTGTACGCTTCCTCTCTCTCTGTCTCATCTTCCAGTAAAACACAAGTCTCAGGTAATGTGGAAAATAAAAATTCATCTCCGATTGCTTGCGTTCCTCCTTCATTTGGATTCAGTTTCGGGGTTGTGTTCTTTTGTCAGAAATCTGAAGGTTCGTCGGATGGATGATGCCCCAAATTGGGTAGTTTCATTTCCATTGGCGAAATGAATCGTTATTTTTGTTGTTTTGTACTTAGTGTGGCATTTATGGTGGGAATGGGTCTCTAGCGATGCTCTGCTCTGCTCTTTGGAGCCATTTCAGGGATAAATTAGTTTCCGTGTTCGTTTTGCATTCGATTTTTATGACTTCTGCTGTGGTTGATGTCGTCTGCCAGTTATTGTTGGGTGTAATTTGATTTTGTCGCATCTGCCTTGATAGATTGGTAGGCTGGATCTCTGCAATATTGGGCGTTTCTGGTGTGAAGGGTCTGTTCAAGATCGAGTCTTTTCATTTGGGTTCTCTGTGATTTCCACGATCAGTTGTCTGTGATCTATGGAGCTAGCTTTGTGAAGCTTTACGTGGGTGATTTCTTAATGTTTGATTCCATCCCCATTTCGGTATGGGGTTACCATGTTAAGGTTCTTTGTTCTATTGTTGAGCTTTGTGTCTTGCAATTTTAATGGGGAATGTGTTTTTCAGATTTTCTGTTTCATTGTAAGAAGCTGATTGAATGTTTATTAGAGCAGCAATGTCTAGATCTTGTTGTCCTAGTTACTTCTTTTTTCCCTGTTGCTAAACTTGTTACAATTCCACTGTGCTCGTATCTTTGCTTGCCAAGAGAGGGAATGAAATGGTAGTAACTTCAATTGTAGGGAACAAGGATATTTGCATTGGAAGATAAAGAACAATTTACCCTCTTTTTCTCCCCTTTTATTTTATCCAAATGTACGTATAGATCTTGTTGTCCTAGTTTCTTCCTATTTCCCTGTTGCTAAACTTGTTATGATTCCACTGTGCTCATATCTTTGCTTGCCAAGAGAGGGAATGAAATGGTAGTAACTTCAATTGTAGGGAGCAAGGATATGTGCATTGGAAGATAAAAGAACAATTTACCCTCTTTTTGTCCCCTTTTATTTTATCCAATTGTACGTGTAGAGAATTGAGGCTGAATGCTTTTAAGACTTAAATCCATCCTACTTCCTTTCATGTTGTCATTCCGGTGTGTTAACTTGTTCATTTCCATCTCCTTTTGCATATACCTATCATACTGACATGGGAATTGTTCGTGCAGTATCTGGAGGATGTGGCGAGGATGTTTCCATTATCAATGAACTTTCATGGGAGCTTGTCAATGGTTGCTGGAATTACTGTGTATTGATGACAGTGATCTTGACGAGAATGATAGTTTAAAGATTTTTTTTGAATCCTTATGTTTTAGAATGGAACTCTTCATCATTTTACTGGAAGATTCGTGACAGCGAGGAGAAATAATCAGTCATATTGGTTTATTGTTTAGGTGATTCATGTTATGCAGCCTCTGCTTTGCCCTGTAAATTATTCGCGGAAGGGTGTGTGATAGTTATAATTGCACTGTAGATTAGGTGTAAATATACGATTGTGAAGTGTTAGGGATAGGACTCTTAGATAAGTTCATAATAGGTAGATAAAATTGAGAAACTAGTTATGTCTCAAGGACAAAAGCAACCTGTACAAGGTTCTGCTCGGAAACTTTCACCTTCGACTTCTCAGAAAGATCTGTGGTTTATTGTACGAGAAGGGTCCTTGGCTGATGTAGATTCTGCTTTGGCACTGCTAAAGAAAAATGGGGGCAATATTAATTTACGAAATGCAATGGGCCTAACACCCCTTCATATTGCAACTTGGAGAAATCACATTCCCATTGTCAGGAGGCTGCTTGCTGCTGGTGCTGATCCTGATGCTAGGGTATGTTACTTCCCCTTTCCTTAGCTGCCTTCAGTTCCTCTGAGAACAAGGAAGTTCTCGACTATCTTATGTCATCTCATTACTTCAGTGATCGCATTTGAAATATAAAATGTACTTGTTAGCCTGGTTTGTCGTGAGCTATTTGGAGATGGTCCAGTTCTGTTGTCCTTCAAATGTCATATGCTGGAAATGGGTGTATAGCACTCAAGTGTTGCTCTGACCCTCCTCGGATGATTCTCCATAAAATCTATTTCAGGATGGAGAATCAGGATGGAGTAGTCTTCACAGGGCTCTGCATTTTGGTCATCTTGCAGTTGCAAATGTGCTCCTTCAGTCTGGAGCTTGTATTACTTTGGAAGACTCTAAATTCCGTACACCGGTTGATCTCTTGTCTGGACCTGTTGCTCAGGTTCTTGGAGATGAATGTAACTCGGGTACCATCCCCATATCATGACATGTGCTATGGATATTGTCATTATAATTAAAATTAGCCCCATTGCCTCTGGAGAATTGTTGAACCATTATTTCTCTCTTTTGTAGCCACTGAGGTGTATAGTTGGGGAAGTGGTGCCAATTATCAACTAGGAACCGGAAATTCGGACATACAAAAGCTGCCCTGCAAGGTTGATGCACTTCACGGGTCTGTAATTAGGCTGTTGTCTGCAGCAAAGTTTCATAGTATAGCCGTTAGTGACCGTGGAGAAGTCTATACATGGGGATTTGGAAGAGGGGGCAGACTTGGACATCCGGACTTTGATATCCATAGGTTAGTAACTGCTGGAAGTTGCAAACTATCATTATCATTGTCACACCCTTGATATCATTGTCTTCTGTTTCTTTTTCCATTTATTGAATCAATTCTTTTTTATTTTACGTGTGTAGTGGCCAAGCAGCTGTTATCACACCTCGTCAGGTGCTTTCTGGAATAGGCTGTCGCCGTGTAAGAGCAATTGCTGCAGCTAAACATCACACAGTTCTTGCAACAGAGGGTGGGGAAGTCTTCACCTGGGGATCTAACAGAGGTACACAATATGTTGCTCTCTGTATGCTGTGAGACATTTGGTTTTTGGACACCTGCCTTTTGTTTCCTGTATATTGCAACTATATATTCTCAATAACTTGTCTAAGCCACTAGCATAGTCAACATGTCCAGTGGTATAGTGTGGGGGGAACTATTTGACATGTGTGTTTAAACAATATTAATCGGAAGAGTAGTGGAGAAGTATATATTTCTCTGTTATATTCTGCCAGAATGAAGTGTAACATGCCATCTTCCAATAAAACTTCTACAGAAGGTCAGCTGGGTTACACTGTGGATACTCAACCGACACCTCGCAGAGTGAGTTCCATTAAGTCAAAGATCGTTGCTGTTGCGGCAGCAAACAAACACAGTGCTGTGGTTTCCGACTCTGGTGAAGTTTACACATGGGGTTGCAATAGGGATGGTCAGCTTGGTTATGGTACATCTAATTCGGCATCTAATTACACTCCAAGGATAGTTGAGTATCTGAAAGGGAAAGTTTTTACTGGAGTTACAGCAGCAAAATCTCATACCATTGTCTTACGGAATGATGGTGAGGTAATGTACCTTTGCCCGCTTACTTTTAGCTCCACTCAATGGTAGGGTCTAAAGCATAATGGTAATGCTGCTGCTTCTACTTTACTGCTGTATTTTGCAATTACCAGTAGATGGAGCCAATTTGTATGTCGTTGTGTTGTGTTCGGTTTCCTTGGCTGGCTAGCTCGCATCACATATCTTTTTACTTTTTAGGCATAATAACTAAAATTATCTTTAATATGTAATGATAGGTTTACACCTGGGGGCATCGATTTGTTACTCCAAGACGTGTTATTGTTTCACGAAATCTGAAGAAAAGTGGGGCTGCCCCTTTGAAGTTCCATCGCATGGAGCGGCTTCATGCAGTAGCAATTGCTGCTGGGGTGGTGCATAGTTTGGCCCTTATGGATGATGGTGCCCTGTTTTATTGGGTCTCTGCAGATCCTGATCTTATATGCCAGCAGGTAATTCATTTTCAGATTTGGAGTTAAAAACTTCAACTTTACTTAAGAGTGAGTTCTGATTCCATCCTCCTGTTGCAGCTGCATTCACTCTCTGGGAAAAGTATTGTTAGTGTATCTGCTGGTAAGTACTGGGGTGCAGCAGTTACAGATACAGGTGATGTCTACACATGGGACAGTAAGCATGTCAAGGATAAATCACCAGTTCCGACTCGATTGCATGGTGTCAAAAGGGCCACTTCGGTTGTAGTTGGAGAAACTCATCTATTAGCTGTTAGCTCTCTCTATCATCCTACCTATCCCCCTAATGCTGACAAGATTCCTCAGAGACAGAAGTCGGAGAATGAGGATGAACTGGAAGAGCTCGAAGACTTCCTTTTTGACAATACTGAGCTGCATCATAAGCTATGTGTTGATGAAAATAATAAGAGTGCTTCAGAAAGGCCCGTGCCAAGTTTGAAATCTCTCTGTGAAAAGTCGGCAGCAGATAATTTAGTTGAGCCAAGAAATGCGATACAGATGCTTGAAATTGCCGACACTCTTGAGGCCAATGATCTGAAGAAGCACTGTGAGGTACATCCTTCTGTAGTTCTTATTCTATTTGCTAGTGTTTGACCTTGCGTTCTGGAAAGAGTCAAAGGAGGGTGTAGTTAAGGGGAGGAAAGTCCCCCACTATTACCTGATAGGGAGACCAGGTGCTGCATTGAGGGGGTGTGTAAGAGAACACTGTTTCAGTTGAAACTCAAATTGAGTAGCAAAATAGAAAAGCTACTTCTTTTAAAGAGATATCCCTTTGGTAACTTTCACCTCATTTCCACCCTTCCACTTTACCCTTCCCGAACAATATGATTACCCAACCACTTTCACCCTTTTCGAACGATCTTTTGCCTCAAATAATTACCTCCTCTCTATAATCACCTTTTCTTCCAGAACAGGGTAAATTGTGCATGGTTTGTAGTATTTATTCTGGAACTGGCTGATGCGCTTATTTCCTTTGTACTAGATTGAAGTTTAATTTTCCTTGGTTTTTGGTCATCACCTGCAGGACATTGCAATTCACAACCTGGACTATCTTCTGACCTTCTCATCACGTGCTTTTACTGCCACAACATTGGAAATCCTGGCTGGCCTGGAAACTCTCTTGGATCAAAGGTCATCCGAGCCATGGAGCTACCGGAGGCTTCCAACTCCAACAGCCTCGTTTTCAGTCGTTGTGAACAGTGAAGAGGATGATAGTGAGAGTGAGGCTATGAGAACCCGGGAAAAGTACACTAACAAACCTGTTCTTTTGGGACCTGGAGTGGAGTCTAGGCAAGACTCCTCCTTTCTCCATCCTATGCCCAAGGATGATCAGGAACACCTGAAACAAGTTCGTGCTCTGCGTAAGAAGTTGCAGCAGATTGAGATGCTGGAGGAAAAGCAACTTAAGGGCTATCAACTTGATAACCAGCAAATTGCAAAGCTCCAAACACGGTCTGTCATTGAGAGTTCGCTTGCTGAGCTTGGGTTTCCAGTGGAGATGGTAGATGCCAAGGCATCGGCTTCTGCTGCTTCATCTGATGTGATGAAGGGCAGTAACAAAAAGTTGAAGGCATCAAGAAAGCAAAATAGGAAAAGCAAGAACAAGGGTGAGGAAGATGAGATGAGATCAGGTCTTAATGGAAATAAGGTAGAGGTGGGGCCCATAATACCTCTTTTGGACGCTGAGATGTCTCCAGGCTCCATAAATAAGGTGAGTTTCACACTTTTGGTTACTAAGTATTGTTTGCTTGTCCTAATGGTAATGGTGAAGTGAATATTTAACACTGTCAAGTCTTCGTAACCACTCACATCTATACTGTTTGATAGGATGAAGAAGCAGTACGAGCGAAGGGTGTTGCTGAAATCCGTGTGCCTGATGCTATACTTGTTAAGACGGATATTGCAGATTTAGTAGGGAAGAGTAAGAGCACTTCTACCCTGGGATCCAAGAAGAAGAATCGGAGAGGTGGTCTTTCCTTGTTTCTGAGTGGTGCCCTTGATGAGGCTGCGGAAGAGGCTGCCCCTCCTCCACCACCTACCCCTAAAAATGAGGGGCCTGCGTGGGGTGGTGCTAAAATATCAAAAGGTCGTTCCTCACTTCGTGCAATTCAGGACGAGCAAAGTAAGACTCTGGGCAGCAATCCAAAGAACAATACTCTGGTTGAGGAGAGTAAGGGTGATGGAAAGGTATCCCTGAGCGCATTCATTTCTTCCAAACCTATACCTATGGCTCCACCCTCCACATCCCTTACTTCTGATGTCGACAAGGGCACCCCTCCCTGGGTTTCTGGGACTTCTCCTCTCATGTCTCGTCCATCTCTACGAGACATCCAGATGCAGCAGGTACTTCTGTTTTGGTATCGGCTTTCTATATAGTGGAAACATTATGCGGGGGTGGGTTTTGTATTAACATTTGGTTTCTCTCGCAGAAGGGTAAACAGCATCAAAACATTTGCCATAGTCCCAAGACCAGCACAACTGGGTTTGCAATCACCACGGGTCAGGGTTCCCCATTGGATTCTCCTGGGATGAACAAGTGGTTTAAGCCAGAGGTTGATGCACCGTCGTCTCTCAGGTCGATTCAGATCGAGGAGAAGGCAATGAAGGAGCTGAAGCGACTCTACAGCAATGTGAGGATAGTGAGGAATGCTGCATGATATATGCTCCATCTTCCCTGCATGAGTTAACTTTTCCTTTATCCTTTTAGTTTATTTTACCCATTTCCTTCTCTTAAGATCTTCTCATAGTTTGAAAAGGACGGATTTGACTGTACAGAGGATCAGAATTTGCAGATTTAGTCCTTATAATTTTCAAGGGTACTCGGTCAATCCCTCTTTGTTCTTTTTTGTTCTTCCCTCTTGTCTTCCTCGAGTGTATTCAATATTCATAGCTCAGACTCGCAGAAATGGGGTATCAATTGTGAATTTGTGATCCCCACTTATTATTTTTATTTCCTTCTTAAATAAGGATTTGAAGCTTTTGTACATTCAAATTTCAATCGTTCTGTAAGCAACAACTAGTGAATCGTTTAATGAAAAATAATAAAGCTTAGCCTATGAAAGCTTCAGTTACAGATTAACGTTGATTGGTTGTACTCATTTTGAGTTTTGACCAAGTTCCTGGGTGTCTAAGCTCTTGGGGATTCACGGATTCCCTTGGTCACTGCCTCGTACTCGGCCAGGTTTGTTAGTTAAAGTTTCTTATTGGTGGCCGCATTGACAGAAATTTTCTCCTGCATTTCAATCTTCATTCGTCTTTCGTCTAAAATTGGCCCACGATCAGAATCGGCGGCAATTAGGGTGTGTTTGGATAGAATGATTTGGATTTTATATTTGTAATTATTTTGATTTCTAAATTTCAAATCATATGTTTGGATATTAATTACATTTTGTATTTTGATTTGTGCCAAATTCAAGAAGTGATTTCCAAATACATGTCTGTTGTATTACTTGTCAATTTCAAATACATTTCAACTAGTGATTTGAAATACCTCTTAACAAAAAATTGGACCTATTTGTAAAATATTAAAAGTTTAGGCACTATAGTGTGAGGCAAATTATATAAATATACCAAAATGTAATTTTATCATCAAAATTTCTGTACTTTTTGTAAAGTTTTAAAAGTTTAGGTACTAAACTGTAAGGAATAATAAATTTGGATACCGAACTGTAATTTATCAAAATTTGTAGGGGTTAAAGACACATTTGGTCACTGAGATTACAAAATCGGGACATGTTTAATCACTAGAAAAAGTTAATATCAAATTTGGTCACTACAATTACTAAAACTGGACACATTTAGTCACTCGCCGTTAGTCTCCGTCCAACTCCGTTAATGAAGTCCGTTAAGTGCTGATGTGGCAAACAGAATTGCCTAATCAGCCGGATATAACCCAACAAAAATAAAACCCGACCCGCCACGTCATTAAAACCAACCCAACCCATGACCCAACCCTTCTTCCTCCTTCCTCCCACCTCCCATCCATTTCGGATCAAAGGTTTGTTTGGTTGAGTCTCAGCCATCTTTTCCCCCACTGCAAACATTAAGAGCAACCCCTAAATCAATCGACAAATTCAGCTTCGACCTATTGATTCAACCAAATCCCTAAATCTGTCTATTGCATCGCAGATTCAAATCTAAAGCCAGATTCACGATGAAGTCCTGAGCTTTCCCAAGAACAGATCGAAACCCAGAAACCAATTCTGTTCATGCTTCAAAGATTCGACAAACCCACGAAAAAATTGGACAAGAACTGTTGTCAAAGTAAAAAAGAGATGAGATTGGAAAACTCCGCACCTTGACCAGCTTGGAAATGGAGCTCAGAGATCGCCCGATTCTCCTCCCAGGAGAAAGAGAGAGACCCACCAAGAGACGGATCCGAAATGGATGTGAGAAAGGACTATATATATAGATAGAAAGACAGACAGAGCAAGCTGCTTCCGAACTTCAAAATTTTCGCGGCGGAGAAAAACAGAGTGTGAGGAAAACCCGAAAAGGGTGAAGATAGAAAGATCGGGGAAAAAGGGTAAGGAGATAATAGGCGCCGTCTACGACTCTCAAGCCAATTTATAGGGCAGGGAGAAAGGAGATGGTGGCGGCCGCTGGCGGGGCGCGGTGGCGATGATTTAGAGGAGGTGGGAGGAAGGAGGAGAGCGGCAGCGGCGGTTTTGGGCAAAGAAGGAGGTGGGAGGAAGGAGGAAGAAAGGTTGGGTGGGGTTGGGTCATGGGTTGGGTGGGGTTTAATGACGTGGCGGGTTATAATGACGTGGCGGGTCGGATTTTATTTTTGTTGGGTTATATCCGACTGATTAGGCAATTCTGTTTGCCACATCAGCACTTAACGGACTTCATTAACGGAGTTGGACGGAGACTAACGGCGAGTGACTAAATCTGTCCAGTTTTAGTAATTGTAGTGACCAAATTTGATATTAACTTTTTCTAGTGACTAAGCATGTCCCGATTTTGTAATCTCAGTGATCAAATGTGTCTTTAACCCAAATTTGTAGTGAGTGACCAAAAGTTTAAAATTTAAATAAAAAATCATGAAATTTAAAATGCAAACAAAATACAAATGAGTATCTAAACAAGGAATTTGAATTACATGTATTTCACATACATGCATTTTAAAACCATACATTTCAAATACCTTACATTTGAAATACACCTATCCAAACTCATCCTTATAAACTTTGGGATACCAATGTTTACAAACTACACACAAACCGAACACTAAAATAGAAACCACTCATATCCACAAGAAAAAAAAAGCCTTTTTGGCTAACGAATGAGCTGCTCTATTGATTTTGCCTGCCACAAAAAGCAATTGAAAAACAGAAAACAGTTGTCGGAGTTGGGATATCTCTTCAATAATAGCACCTACTTTCCCATCCCGAATTTCCCGATTCGTAATTTTGGAAATGTTGGGACAATCATTAAAGCATATGGGCCTCCGAGCCCATGACCACTAAAAAGCCCAATAAAGCGAACAAGCCCAATCCAGAGGATTAAGAGGCGGTCTATGGGTCGCACCTAATAAGACCGCCCAGCATACAACGGAAACAAAGCAGGACGCCCGACAGAGGATATAGTCAACGTCCTGACAACAAGGTACGAATACTGAACAAAGTACGGATCTGACCAAGCATTTATGAGAAGTCAGAGGCGGTTGAGGACCGCCCGACACAGCGTCAGGCTGCCCGACATAACGTAACTTGTCCTCACTCCTAGACCCAACTAGTATAAATACCCATCAACGGATCACATTTATGGTAACTTCTATCTACCCCATTCTCTCTCTTATTCACTTTATCCACTTCTCTCACTAACTTAGGCATCGGAGGAGGTCCCAGGGCTCCCCTGAGGACCTTTGTTGCAGGACTTCGAAGGTCGCCTCATCATCCTTCCAAGACCGCACGGAGTCAGTGAGCTTCACAAACCGCCCGGTACTTTCCAGGCATAAACATTTTGGCGCCCACCGTGGGGCACACTACTTCGTCACCGGAAAAAGATGGGGGACAACTTTGAAACCCCGCTCAAGGGTATGACCGAGAACAACACCCTCCGAGGTCTATCGCCGAGAGTTGAAGATGAATCGGAGCTTGAGGAGGTGGTCAAAAGCCAAGGCATACAAATTGCAAGCATGCAAGATAGCCTGTCGCAAATCCTCCAGCTACTGAAGACAAGAGAAGACCCGCCCGAGGGGTCGAAGGGAAGAACTCGAGAAGAAAAGCTAAAGGCCGCCCTGATCCTCGATAGCCCTGCTCGGACAGAAGGCGGGGGACAGGAGGCAGACGAAGCCGATCTGGGTTTCCTCGAGGAACACTTACGGTCGACTTACGGGAAACACAAAAGTCCCAACGTCCTTCAAAACCCGCTCTCTAAGGAGCTGTTCAAGACCCCAGTACCGCCAAATTTCTCCTCCCTTGGACTACCCGCGTATAACGGGACCTCAGATCCCGCCGACCACCTTTGTGCCTTCCTGTTAAAAATGCAACTCATCAACGCCACAGACTCTGATTTGTGCGGCGCGTTTCCCGTCACCTTCAGCGGTCAGTGCCGGACGTGGTATACATCCCTCCCGGAAGGGGTGATAGAAAACTTCGAACAATTCGCGATGCTTTTCTCCACAAAGTTCGCGTCCCAACGACGGCGCAAACTCACGGTCTCGGCACTCATAAATTGCAGACAAAAGAAAGAGGAGTCCCTTGCGGAGTTCTACGACCGGTGGAACGCGATCGCTTGCGAAATCGACGGGATCTCTTCAGTCGTAGCCGCCGGAAACCTCAGGATATCAACGACCAGCATCGAGCTCAAGAGGACGCTGATAAAAAAGGAAGCCACGTTAACGTCATGGTCAGACTTAGACCAATTGGTAAGAAGAGCTATCTTGCTTGAAGAAGCTCTCGCCACCGATGATAGAAGCCATCAGGGGCGATCCCGAAACGACCCACAAGAGCGGTCGGACGCTCGACGAGGAAGGCGGTCTCCTGAACGGAAATCGTATCGCAACCGGTACACAGACCGTGATAGTAAAAGAGAGGTCTATTCCACCGAACGAGAAAGAGGAAGAGAAAGACGAAGGAGCGGGAGAAAACCGGAAGCATCCTCCGGACAGGAACCACAAGAAGGAAAAAAGTGGTGCGACTGGCACCAAATGGCGACTCATGACACCACGGAGTGCCGAGAGTTCAAAGCCAGCTTGAAGTACTTAGCTCCGGGAGATCTACGTAACCGCCTCGAAACACGACGAAATCATCGGGGCAACTCTCAGGAGGGAAGGGAAGATTCCCTCAGCCCGGAGGAAGACAAACCAAGAAGAGCTCGTAAAGAAAGGTCCAGATCGCCCACAAGGAACAAGATCATCTCGCCACAGAGGCAATCTCCTGCATATCGACCCCCAAGAGGAGAAGACGATGGCATGGAGATCATTACGATCGCAGGGGGTAGGAAGCGGCCCAGAACAGAGGCCGACCGCCTGAGCCACTGCTTAAGCGTCCAACGCCGGGTGCCGTCGGACGTCACCTTCCTACCCTCAGAGCTAGCTAAAGAGGAGAACTCAGAAGACCCCTTAGTCATCTCGTTCCGAACCGACAAGTTCAAAGTCACGAGAGATCTCGTCGACAATGGGAGCTCCGCCGATATCCTCTTCTACTCAGCGCTCCGAGGCATGAAGAAGAGTATCCAAGACCTCAACCCCTCCAACACCAGCTTAGTGGGGTTTTCGGGAACGAAGGTCCGTGTCCTTGGGTCAATCACCTTCAAGGTCACCATAGGCGAAGGAGGAATCACCAAAACCAAGCAGGTGGAGTTCCACGTGGCGGATTGTCCTTCGGTGTACAATGCCATTCTGGGACGTGGTTTCCTGGTCTCATTCGAGGCGGTTGCCTCCACATGCCATCAAATGCTGAAATTTCCAAGTGGAGGGCAGACAGGACGCGTCCGAGGCAACGCGAAAGAGGCAAAGGAGTGCTATCAAGCGACCATTGAACGCCTGGAAGTCGACCTCGTCGACGCCAGAGACGACGTTCCTCGACCTGAAGCCGTAGAAGGCGATATTGCGGTTCCCCTAAACGAAGAGCA